AAGCCAACTTTGTGCCTCTGCTCTATTATTAGTTAATGTATGAAGCCATATTCAGATCACTCAAGCAGATTTTCTTCTGTTGTGTCTTTATTCCTTCATTTCTCTCTCATAGCACTTACTATATTATATTGAAATAATCTATTTATCTCTTTTGCTATTCTTTAAAATCTTTGAAAATAAAGACTCTTTTTTTTTAAATTGTTCACTATACTGTTTGGTACCCAAATTATTATTGAATTAATTAATTAATTAAGGTTTAGTAAGTCTGAGATTTAGAGGTTAGGTTGGAGTATGGGGAAGAAGTGTGATCAGATCAGATAAAAGGCTATGACCAAATGTTTTTAATCTTTGTGGTGTTGAACAAATGATAGAAAAGGGTAGAAAAATAAAATGGGAAAAGACTATAGAAGTCTTCATATGTCATATTTACAGGCTTGATTTGCTTTTGTTGGTAGTGGAAGGTCAAAACATGTATTTGAATAGGGAAATGGTATAATTCCAGCTGTAATGTAGGACATTAGAGTGATTAAGTGAAGTTAGTGATAGTAATTAGCAAGTTATAATAGTTAAATAAAGCTTGAGCTGTAATAGTCAATACTAGGCTTTCTTGGAGAAAGGGTAATATATGACAAAAAAAGGATATTGCAGAGGTAGAAGTCACAAGGCATTAATTCATGCTTAAATATAGGGAATTATTAGGAATATAAAAGAGCAACAAGTGCCTAGAAAAATAAAGGACCTTAGAAAATTACAGAAATACTAGGAAAATGATAAGTTTGAAGTTTGATGAGGTGATGTGATATATATATATATATATATATATATATATGTTTTGAGATGCTTCTGGGATATTAATAAATGATAATTAAGAAATATAAATTTAGTACTGTACTTCAGAAGAGAATTGGGGCTTGCACAATTTATTGTTAAGTTATGAGAATGAATGCAATTGACAAAATAGAATGCATAGCAGAAGAGGGTCAGAAACAGAACATTGGAGGATGCCTTAAATAAAAGTATATAGAATCAAGAGAAACCAAGATGGTGGCAAAGGTAAACACCTAACTGCAGCCTCACACAACAATTTCAAAAAATACAACTAAAATATAAAGTGGACATTATCCAGAACTACAGGAAAGTTGACTGACTGGAAATTCTACAACTAGAAGGAAATAGAAAACCAGAAGGAAAATCATAGGAGCTGTAAAATCCCAAGGTACAGAGACACTTTGCGCGAGGAGAGGACAGAGCTGGAGAGGAGGAGTGGCTGATTGCCTGGCCGGCTTTCCCTAGCGGGAAGGAGATAAAAGCTCCGGACTGTGTTGAACCCCAGTTCCGACTGCACTGAACTCCGGTTCTGGGTGAGACCCTTGGGCCCCAGGCTCATACAGAGGGAATCTGAGCTGTAAGTCAGAAGCTCAGGGGAGTGGCGAAAGGCAGAGCCCCTGAGTCACACACATTTCACGCAGAGGACAGACTGTTCACTGAGCTGCTAGATTGCCCTAGCGGGAAGGAGATAAAAGCTCCAGACTGCTCTTAATGCCACTTCCAACTGCACTGAATCCCAGTTGCGGGCTGGTTGGGGGAGAGACTAGACTGTTGGGTAGTGGGCGAAACTTGAGGGCACCTTTCTCTCAGAGATGCAAGTATCAAAGGACACTGAGGAACACTGAGACTCAGGAACCTCATAGGGCAGGGCTAACCAGAAGCCAAGTCTGTAGGCTCCACCCTGAAACTCCACCCCATCCAAGCTGAGCACAGAGGCTCTTGCAGTTTTCCAAGTCTAGTCGAATAAGGCTGTCTCCCGGCATAGATACAGCTGATCCTCCCACCCTACCAACTCAGGAAAGCAGCGAAAATGCCGAGACAAGGAAAGAGATCACAAACGAAAGAAATGGAGGACAAAAAGAGACTGGATATAGAGTTCAAAACCACGCTTATAAGGTTTTTCAAGAATCTCCTAGAAAAGGCCGGTAAAATAAAGGAGACCTATAAAGATATGAAAAGGGATCAACTAGAAATAATGAAGGATCAACTAGAAATGAAGAATACATTCTCTGAAATAAAAAAAAAATATTATACAGAGTCCTAAAAACAGAATGGAAGATTGTAAGAATCAAGTCAAAGATTTGGAACACAAAGAGCCAGAGGACACTCCTCTACAGAAGCAAGAAGATAAGAGAATCCAGAAAGTTGAAGATAGTGTAAGAAACCTCTGGGACAACTTCAAGCGAACCAACATCAGAATTATGGGCATCCCAGAAGATGACAGAGACCGAAAACATACTGGAAGAAATAGGGACAGAAAACTTCCCCCACCTGGTGAAAGAAATAGACCACAGAACCCCAAACAAAAAGAATCCAAAGAGGAACACACCAAGACACATCATAATTAAAATTTCAAGAGCAAAAGACAGAGAGAATATCAAAAGAAAGAGAAAAGCAGGTAGTTACCTATAAAGGAAAACCCAAAGGATTGTCAGCAGATTTCTCAACAGAAACCATGCAGGCCAGATGGGAATGGCAAGAAATATGCAAGGTGATGAATAGCAAGAACCTACAGCCAAAAATACTCTACCCAGCAAAGCTATCACTCAGAATCAAAGGCCAGATAAAGAGCTTCACAAATAAATTTAAGCTAAAGGAGTTCATCACCACCAAACCAGAATTATATGAATTACTGAAAGGGGTTCTTTAGGAAGAGGAAGAAAATAAAGATAAAAATTATGAACAACAAATACATAACTATCAACAAGTGAATCTAAAAACCAAGGGAAGTAAAAAACATGATGAACAATATTAACTGGTGAATATAATAGAATCAGAAGTATGGAAGGGGAGTGGACTGATGATTCTCGGGAGGAAAAGGGGAGTAGGGGATGCAGGAAGAGACTGAACATAAACTGTGCACCTATGGATGAGGACAATGGAGGATGGGGAAAGGGCAGATGGTGGGATGGGAACCTGGTGGAGGGGAGCAATGGAGTGGGGAAAAAATGAGGAACCTTTGTAATAATATGAACAATAAAGTTTTATTTTTTAAAAAGTGTATAGAATCAGAATCTATGAAGAAGACAGAAGAATATTCAAAGAATTCAAAGAGCCAGGACCAGTTTGGCTCAGTGGATAGAGCGTTGGCCTGCCGACTGAAAGGTCCCGGGTTCGATTCCGATCAAGGGCATGTACCTTGGTTGCGGGCACATCCCCAGTGTGGGGTGTGCAAGAGGCAGCTGGTCGATGTTTCCCTCTCATCCACGTTTCTAACTCTCTGTCCCTCTCAATTCTTCTCTGTGTAAAAATTAATAAAATATATATTTTTTAAAAAGATTTCAAAGAGAAAATAGTAAAAGAAAAAAGAATGACAATAACTTACAAAATCATTAGAATAAAACATTTAAGAAAGATGGGCTGTCATATATGGAATTATATCAATACATATAAACTGAGTAGGATGGGAATTGGAATAGTCATTGTAACTGGTGCTTTGCAATGACAGTTTTTATAGATTGATAGTTGTTAAACACAGAATTAAAGAAGTTGAGGTAAAAAAGGTAAATATGAGTAGACTACTGGTAAAAATTTAGAAATTTGATAAAACTTATAGAAAGCTTTTCAGTGAATGAGAAGAAAAGAAAAATTTTGAAATAGCTGCTGCAGTGCAGTAGTAAAATAATTATTTTAAAATAGAAGTAAAGAATTCAAAGTGGAAGCCCAGTTGAAATTTTATATCATGTATAGTTAGTGTACCTAATCATAATGTTGATGTTCATTTCTTGAAACAACTTGCAGAAATCAGAAAACATTTAAGAAAGTGATTGGTTCAATTAATTCAAGGTTGGGGGTTAGCATGGTAAGTACAATGCAAGGTCAAAGGAGTTAGGTGATTAAGGGAATTGGTGACAATGTATTTAAAATATTTGGATATAGGATTCTAGAAGGGTAGCAAGGCTAATAAGCTATTGAATAAGTTATTAAAAGGAGATAGTAGGGAACAATCAGAGAATTAGAAGGAGCACAATAGGGCAACAAAAAAATTCCATGCAACAATAAGATGAAGACCAAAGCTGAAAGTGTTATTATATCATAATAATAAAATAGTTTTGTTATATAAAATCTTTCAAAATAAGTTATTAAACTATAATGAAGTATAATAAAAATATATTTGATTAATTTTTTATCTTATATCAAATTTATATTGTAATCACATGATTATGAATAAAATTTTAAAGCCTAAGGTAATTTCCTAAGGAATGGTTAAAAGAAGTGAAATACATTGAATAGACCACTAGAATACTATGCAATTGATTAATCTGAACACCAGTAGCTTGTATAAGTTCTCTTTATGAAATTATTTGGCTAAAAATCCTAGTTATTGATTTGGTTCTAGGTGTTGAGGACATCATTTTGGGTATCTTATCCTCAATTTACTTGTGCTTATATTTTAAGCAATGTTCAGCTCTTAATTAAAAAAGCTTTTTTTTTTTTTGTAAAGATAAATGTTTTTCTTTTTATCTAAAAAGTTAGAAAATACAGACAACTATATATGAGATAGTTAAATATGCTCATAAACAGACTATGTGGAGATAACTGTAATTATAAATTATGTCCAACATTTGTGTGTGCGCATGTTTACAAAAATATGGTATGTGTACTGGTTAATAAATTACATTTTTAATTTTCACATTTCTTATGATAATAATTCTATACTGATAAAAATATACTTTTATAACCTTTTGTATATACTAAATTTACAAAATACTACTACGTAGTATCTCACTATATGGCTGGAAATTTATTTCCACAGTACTCTATATTTGAAAATTTGAAAAACAGATTATTTTCACTATTGCATCATAAATAAACTCTGTAAGCATCCTAGATTCTATGGTTTTAAAAATATTTTAATATAATTGAGAGGTAATTTCTTCAGTGACTCCTAAAATTTACTCATCTAGTTACCTGATTAAATTATATCTCTTGGGCCGCGGGGCGGCGGGTGGTGCGGGCGCTGGTTTGGAACTTGCACCAGCGACAGGTCAGGGAGCAGTGACCCCTCCTCCTCAGCCCGAGGATGCCTCTCTTCGGGAGCACGTTCAGTCCGAAGAAGACGCCCCCCCGGAAGTCAGCCTCGCTCTCCAACCTGCACAACCTGGACCGGTCCACCCGCGAAGTGGAGCTGGGCCTCGACTACGGAACCCCCACGATGAACCTGGCGGGGCAGAGCCTGAAGTTTGAGAACGGCCGCTGGGTAGCAGAGGCCCGGCTGAGTGGCGGGGTGGACCAGAGGGAGGCCCAGCGCCTCCGCAGGCGGAACCAGCAGCTGGAGGAGAACAACCTCCTGCAGGTGAAGGTGGAGGTCCTGATGGACATGTTCTCCGAGACCACGGCCGAGTTCCAGATAATGAAGAAGGAACTGGAAGAGCTGAAGAGTGTCAACCGGAGAAGGAAATGAAGACCTCACGACTCTGGTTCACTCTCATTGGACAGACTCTTGGAGAAGCAGGTGGAATTCATCCGAGCCTCCCCTCCTGTCGGTGTTCGGGATGTAGCTCAGTTCTGAAGAGCCCTGCACTCTGCCCTCAGGCCGCTCTCTCTGTGCGTTAGAGTGTTTCTCCCCAGATCCACACCCTCTGGCTTCAGTCTCAGCAGCAATCACCAGTCTTCTATGCAACACTATATTTTTGTGCGACTTTCTTGTTTATACTACTCCCCCTTGTTTTTCAATAAAGATTTAAAAAAAAATTATATCTCTTTAGGAATAGTTCAAGTAGGACCAAATGGTATATTTTGGGGGGGGGGGAATTGAAATTTCCCCTGGCCAAAAATATTTCCTTTCCTTAAAATGCCTTTTAATTACCTATTATTTGTACTTAAGTATTTAAAGAAATATAATTTTATTGAAGAAGGATACACATTAAGCCATTAGCACTTTACTTGTATGAGTTCATCAGAGAAGCTCTAGTCATTAGGTTCCCAAGGGCATGCTACTTATGAAAGAGATGGGAAACAGGAACTAGTATTTGAAAAACTAGGTGTCCCAGGTAGGATGCTTTGTGATAGAGTAAGTATGAGAGTAGTGCTTTTCTGGAAAATGAGGAGCAGGGACTAGAGAAAAGCGTAAAAACTAAAGGTGGAAGGGCTACTACAAACAAATTGTCTTCATTCCAAACTGAGTACTGCAAATTGATATAGACCTGGAGTCAAACCATACACATGTAGCCAAAATAATTTCACTGATGGAACAGTTTCAACCAGTCCAGATGAATATTTCATTCTTCACATTACCTAACTAGGTGATGGAGAATATATTTATGCTTTGTAAGTAGCTTTATAGAATACTGATCATATTTCTATTTGAGATTTTGTTTAATATTGACATTCCAGATGTTGATACACACATATGCACACACATGCATATGCATATATACACACATGTTTATCTTTAAATATATAATGAGTATACCTTATTTATGTGAAAATCCTTATCTTTGCAACTGTGTACTTGCCTGGTTAATTATCTCCTGGTTGAGACAATTATTTTTTCTTTTCAAATTATCAAAAATACCCACTGCATTAAAGATGCTATTTAATTTAAATTATTGTTGTTGTTGTTTTTTTAATTTAGTATGAAGGCTTTGAAAAACATATCTGGCTCTACTCTCTAAATATTCACCTATGTATACATGTATGTGGAAGGATAGTGAAATAATAAAAACTCATAAGTAGTCATTATATATCAAACACAAAGATACTCAGATGTTTGCTTATTGGTTCTGATTGTTACTGTGATTCTCTTTAATAAATGAACCAAAGATTACCTTTGGATATACTGGTCCCTGTGATGTTGATTTCTTCACTGAAGGCTGAAACCCATTAGCTCAAAAGCCTGCTGGCTCCAAACTCAATTTTTACATACCTAATTATTTTTTTAAAAAGACCTCTAAAGCATATTTTTAGACATGTAGTCTTCCTGCTTTACATGTCCTATGAAATCTCCCCACATTAGCAGGTCATTGATAAGATGGAGTCTTCTAGTTATTGTATAAGTTGCCTTGGCCCCAGACACAGAAATTCCCCTCCAAGTGGTTGAGTGATATCACTTAGATAAGCAAGCAATCTCTGTTATTTCCTTCTCCCCCAAGTAATTCCCTTTTCCACCTCCCCCTCCTCCCTGCTTCTGAGTAGGGATTTCATCTTTTTGCCCCTGGACAGACACTTTCTGCAAGGGACTTTGTCTCTCATGAAATCCTGTTCTAACTCCATGAAATAGGCTTCTTTTTTTTATATTTGTTATTGCTGAAAGTATTACATATGTCCCCTTTTTACCCCATTGTCCCCTCCCAGACGACTCCCAACCTCCAGCCCAGACCTTCACCCCACTATAGTCCTGTCTATTGATTCTGCTTATATGCACACAGTTATTTGGTTGAGCTCTAGACCACCTCCCTCACCACCCTCCCGTGCCTTTCCTCTGAAGTTTGATGGTGTATTATTCCATGCTTCTATGTCTTTGAACCTATTTTTGTTCATCAGTTTGTTGTTTATTGCATTTCACAAATGAGTGAGATCATGTGATATTTATCTTTCTCTGACTGGTTTATTTCTCTTAGCACAATGCTTTCCAAGTCCATTCATGTTGTTGTGAATAGTAAGAGTTCTTTCCTTTTATACAGAAGCATAGTTTAGCATTGTGTATATGTACCACCATTTTTTAATCCACTCATCTGCTGATAGTCATTTAGGCTGTTGCCAAATCTTAGCTATTGTACTATTATAGTAAATCGCGCTTCTATGAACATAGGGGTACGTATATTATTTCTGATTGTTGTTTCTGAGTTTTCTGTTATTATTTCTTCAAATATTTTTTCTAACCCTTTTTCCCCTTCCTGTTGTTCTGGCACCCCTATTTTCATATCTTGCTTTGTTTCATATTGTCTCAAAGCTCCCTTAGTCTCTCTTCATGTGTTTTATTGTTTTTCTACAACTGTAGTTCATTGTGGGTGTGTTTTGCTTCCCTGTCTTCTAATTCACTAATTTGATCCTCAGCTTCTTCTATTCTACTGTTGGAAACTTTCCATGGTGTTTTTGTTGTTGTTGTTGTTGTTGTTTTTTTATTTTTTTATTGCAGCTATATCACTCTTCATTTCTTTTTGATTCTTTCATAAGTTGTTGATTTTTTCATCCATCAGGTTTATGAACTGTATGACCCTTATTCTTGAATTCCTTTTCTGACATATTGCATGCCTGCATTTCACTTAGCTGCTTTTCTGTCAATTCCTCCTTTTCTTTCCTTTAGGGGTTTCTTTATCTACCCATTTTTGTTCTCACTGGAGTACCTAGGTGTTGAGTTATGCAAGGGCTGCTCCTTGGTTGACAATGGCTTCTCTGGCAGCGACTGCTCCTCAGGCAGTCACAGCAGCAGCTACTCCTCAGTTGGAAGTGACTCCTCTGGTAAGATTGTTTGCAGCACTGGTGGCTCCTCTGGTTGGTTGGGGGAGGCTGCTCACACAGCTGCTGCTCCTCAGACTTGGGTGGGCTGCTCATTAGGATGCTGTTCCTTGAACTAGGACGGGCTGCATTTGGCTGCTGCTTCTGGGTCAGGGTGGGCTGTTCAGGCAGCTGCTGTTACTTGGATGGGGAATGGGCTGCTTGCCTGGCTGCTGCTCCTTGGACATGGATTGGTCACTCACACAGCTGCTGTTCCTTGGACAGGGGCAGGCCGCCTGAGGTTGCCACTCTTTGGCCTGCAGTGGGCTGCTCTTGGGGCTTCTGCTCCTTGGAAAGGAGCTGGATGCTCATGTGACTGCTGCTCACATGGTCACAGTGCCCTGAGCTAAAGCATTGGTCCAGTCAGAAGGGAGTGCTCTCTGGAACTCACAGGAGCCTATTCCCAAGGTGGTTGTTGTCTCAGTGACCATGGGACCAAAGCTGCAGCAGCAGGTCCCTGGTGGAGGTGGTTGTAGAGTACCAGGTGATATCTGAGGGCATCCTGGATGGAGGTGAGGCTGCACTCCCAGTCACAGCAGCTCTCCCCTTAAAAAAGTAAGGCCTCTGAGGAAGAGCCAGCTGTTCCAGGAGTATTTGCAATGGTAGCAGAGGCTACCTAGTTTAGTGAGCCCAGTCAGCCTGTCCCCAAAGGTCCTGTGGGATATAACTGTGCCTCACTCCTCCCCACATACACATACCCCATGTGGCCATACATTTCTCTTTTGCTCCCTCATTCACTCACACTCTCTCCCTCACTGCCACCTTCTTCCTGCCTTTGTAGTTGGGTCTGGAGTGTTATTGACCTGTTCTTGGATGAAGTCTCCTCTCCAGGTGTCTGGTTATATGGCTTGCTCTCTAGCACATTGGCCAGACAGGATAAAATTAACTTTGACAAGACATGACATAAAGAGAATAAGACACAAATGTACTTGCAACACTGATAACCCCAATATAAATGACCACCGGAGAAAAGAGAACTAGGGAAGAGAAAAGAGAGCACAAATGATATCAAAGAGAGAAAAAAATGATATGAGAACAGAAACAGAAGAAAAAGGAAGAAAAAAAACAAACATATATATATTTGGAAAAAACATCAGAGAACAAACAGGTAAACCAAACCATACAAACACCAAATTCCCATTAAAGACGGCAAGGGTCAAATCTTATATACAGAAAGTAAGGTTAAGAATTGGATGAATATGGGGAGAACATCAATTCAATATGGAGGAAGTAGGAAGAGGATGAGTGGATAAGAAGCAAAGAAAATAATAATAATAATTATTATTATTTAAATAATTGATTAAAATAAAATAATTTAGAATGATGGAAAAATAATGCAAAAAATGAAGATAAACAAATGAGCAAAAAGAAAATAAAGAAAAATTGTAAAAAAGAGATAACAAAATAATAATAAAATAAAAATGAAAAAATGAAGTGTCATTCCTATGGCTGGTTTAAGATCAAACTCTTCTGTACTGTCAGTGGCTTCTCAGCTTCCTGTTGCTGGTACTGAAGGCCTCCCTTTAGGCCAGTCCCAATGGACTCTCAGGGACTACTCAGTTTGTTTGTTTGTTTTACATTGTATCACTCAGGGTGTAGTCTAGGTGTGGTTTTATTGGTTGCCTGGAGACTGCAGGGTAGGTCTATCTCTTCAGAAGAAAATGGCTGCCTAGGTTTCATGCATCAGGTATGACTCAGCACCAGATTCATGGCCACCTCTCCCTAGATCCCCCTCATCCCAGCCTCTCCCCAGACTCCATAAGCCCACACCTCCTGTACCCCACCCATGGGTGAGTGTCTGTATCTGAAAGGTCCTATGAACTAGGTTCAGTGAAGAAAGTAGACCAAAAAGAGGGGAAAGAGCTGTGGTTCTACTCGCCCCTTTCTTCTGGACTCTGAGTGGGCTGGGCACCCATCCTGAATGCCCCTTCTGGACTCAGTCTTTCATGACTGTGGAACCAGATTTAGAATCCCCTACCATCAGCTGTCCCATGGACCTCCTTTCCACAGTCAAATTCTTTGCCTGACCCAAAGGATGTGTCTCAGTGCTGTGTGGTTTCCCCACCCCAAACCTCTGGATTCAGAGGTCTCATAGTTCTCCCCAGCCCAGATCCCTGAATTTTATCATTCTCCAGGTGTCCTCAGCCCTCCGCAGCTGCAAATTGTCTCACTAGATGATTCTACTTTGCCAATTTGAAGTGGGTGTTTTTCTATTTAATTGCTCTTTCTATCTGCTCTGGGACAAGGCTTGGGACA